AAACATGTGAAGAGTCATGATCGCCTACGTCCTGGAAAGACATGGCATTAACAAAAATCATCTGGCTCAAATATTGTACAAAATTTTAGATAAAAATTTTGCTAATGGGAAGCTACGAACTTAATGATGCATTTCCAAATAATCTCTCCAGAAAATAACTTGCAAAATATCGTGAAAATGTTATCGCTCCAGAAAATGCATAAATCCTGCTGCCATGCTCTATCTTTACAAGAGTCAGCTCAGAAAAAGAAAGGATTATTGCAGTCATATCTGGGCTACACTTAGCACTAATCTATCGCTGTTACTATGGCAAATGTTGAAATTAATTACATTCCTTAGTCCCACTAGTTCACAGCTTCTTCCACAGAACTGTTACTTTGCGGAATAGCCTCCCGAGAAGGTGCTTCCCAAACACTACACTCTTCAAATCCAGAGTCAACTGTTATCTATCATACATATCCTCATAATACGCACTCCTTTCTTCCTCCTCTCCCTTACAACAATCACTAACCCTCTACCTTGATTGGCCTTGGGTCGTGTACTAGTGAAATTAAAAAAGAAGAAAACATCTTAACCTAAAGTATCACCAGTAATAAAAAAATAAATAAATATGGAAGTGTGTGTGTGTGTGAGAGAGAGAGAGAGACAGACAGACAGACAGGGGAAAGAAGAGTTTAGGCTGAATACTACCTGTAATACTTGTAAATCTTGCAAACACTTGTGTTAATTGAAATTTTGAATCCTCTTAAACTTTGTATAATATTTTATACCCAGAATATATGATATAGTTGGTGGATGCATATCGACAAATATGTATATCTATCTATCTATCTATCTATCTATCTATCTAAAGGTTTATATTTTTTTTAAATATTACTGCGCAAACCTCAGTACATTTCACGGTCCTAGTCTACAAAGAAGAGGTAACAGTGTAAAGTTAGAGTTTCTCTATTGCATGAGCACCGCCGACCTCCAGTAGATTTGCAACAGACATGTAAACTCCGAACAAATCCGTGGAATTAAACTATGAAATGATGGTAGAACAATAGATATATAGCCTAAGAGCTATTAAGTAAAATTTTAATTGCATCGTGCTCGATCAATATGTTTCACAGAGAAACACTGACAAGGAAGGCTTGAATGTTGAAAATAAATACTTTTGTCAAAATTGGGCTTCAAAGTTATTGATATACCAAAGTAGATACACAGATACATAGACGAAAATCAAAATTGCAACACCCTGAATTTTGATTTGGGTATAGTATGTGCATATAAGGAGATTCGGAGAAAATTTTCAGTCATTGGCCATCTTGTGACACCATTAATATCGGATCTTTATATGGCGACGCATACTGTGATAAAAAATACCCTCTCACACTGCTCTAGGACGTTGTTAGGATAGTAAAATTCAGCGATAATTTTTCTCGATTGGATGCCTTCCCAATATTAAAGAATCCAACTTGCCCTGGTAATTAATCCATGACAGTTTGAAATGGATTCATATATTTCCCAAAGGTATCAATGTGACGCGAAGGCAACGACCTCGAACAGAGTCGACTCGATTTTCTGCCCCTTGTTAACCGATACGTCACCTGCACACACACACACACACACACACACACACACACACACACACACACCTGCACAAGCACTCACACACATCTAAACACTTCCACACATATATATACACACACACTTATCCCCCCACATTATATATATATATATATATATATATATATATATATATATATATATATATATAAAGAGAGAGAGAGAGATAAAGAAAGAAAGAGAGAGAGAGAGAGATTGAACACGACCACGGTGTGCTGACTGTCAGGGAATTAAACATTTTTATTACTAAAAAATGCATAGTAAAACAAACGAAAACATTCTTGATAATGGCTAATAGATTAGCCGAAAGCGATCGAATCCAAGGATGATTTGAACAGTTCTTGTACACTCTATGTCCCCAAAAGAAATTTCTTGTATGTCTGCAAAACAATTACAATCGCCTTCAATAAAACCTATATAAAAGAGGGATTGCTGCCCAAATACACAATAATATATACATATGAAATATGTATATAGGTTTCCATTTAAACTATCCTTTTTTTTTCTTGCTTGGCACAGAAAGAGTACACTTTTTGACCACAGTGTCTGACAATGAAGAATCCAAAACGGAGAACATCGGGGCTATATCCAGAGTAGTGTTCAGCCTAAACGGAAACTAATAAGAATTCTTACTGTGTTTCATGCAATTCAAAAGGAAATTATTATTTCAAATGGCTGGAAACTAGACTGTGAAACTACAGTGACTCTAGTTAGAAACTGGCCGTTGAATGACACATTGTTCTAGAAAATACCTCTTTCTAGGCAAAAAAGTCAACTAGGGTTTGTGCTGCATTGGCAACACTCGTCTTCGAATTGTAAATTCAAATCCCATCTTCAGCATTATTTGCTGAAGGTGGGATAGGACGTTCTTCTAAATTCGATTTATGCTCTTGAGCTCTCAGCTTCAGATTATCATTTCTATTGCTCCATGCAACACTTCTTGTCTGGTAAGCGATTTAAGTAGTTCGAGATATAAAACAATTCTTCGAAAAATACGTTAAAACTGAAATCGTTCTCTTATGATGTAACACGCAGTCTAGCGGAAATATGGGATACAATCATAGAAAGCCGTGACTCAATGATGATGCTATGAATTTAAGTGAATGAAAGATTTTATCAAAGAATTATAGAAACATTTCCATCAACCAAATTGTTCCTATATATATATATATATATATATATATATAGAGAGAGAGAGAGAGACAGACAGACAGACAGACAGACAGACAGAGGAAAGAAAGAGGGAGAGAGAGCATGAGAGAGAGAAAGAAAGAGAGAGAGAAATTGAACACGGCCACAATGTGCTGACTGTTCGGGATGTATATGTATATATATTTATTCACCTTGTTCTGTTCCTATTTCTATGCCTGTTTTTCATTTGTTGGATGAAATATCTGTTTGCTGCTAGCATCTGTTGTCGGTATTCGATCCAAAGTAAAAACCAGGTTTGTAAATGCTGATTTTCACGACTGATAGGCCTTCGCCACTTGGAAAATTAATGCCGCACATCTCGTTTACTTGTTAAATCTATAAAATGTACAAAGAATATCGATCTCATGTTCGTTTTATACCTAACTGCCTCTTAAAAGAATGTTTGATTGTGTTTATTAGGTTGAGTCGTAAGTTCCGCCTTGGGGGACCATTTGTAATGACGAATATATCACCCTAACTACTAATCATATTTGATAGTTAAAAAATAAATTTGGCAAACACTAACATGCTATAATGTTTAAGGCAAAAACAAGTGGATCGAAAAGGATAAATCTCCACAACCGACTCAAATGCTGCGCTCCATGGAAGAAAAAGTTATTGTAGGATCATCAAGGTATTATTCATTCAGACTTCTTAAGACGCGATGAAGCACGAAATACACATTTATACGTTCAGCAGCTGCAACGTGTCCATAAAAATTTGGTCGAGAGGCACCATGCGTTCATCAATAGGAAAAATGTTGTTCTCCATGAAAATGTAAGGCAGTATACAGTAAGAATAACACAGGAAAAAATTATGGAACTAGTTTTATCTACTCTACCCCAGCAGCCACATTCACGTATCTTTGCATCAGCCGATTATTACGTTTTCCGATTGCTACAAAACACTTTGAGGAGGAAATTTTTCTGTAATGAAAACCAGATTCAAGAGTTCGTTGAAAATCTTTTCACATCAAAACCTGCGGCTTTTACTCAAAAGGTAGCGAAGAGATGCCTGATAAGTCGGAACAAGTCATTGTAAATAATACTAATGGTCATGTTGGGATTAGTCATTCCCTAATAAAGAAACATTCAGCATTCATTGACCGACAGTTAGCGTTACGACCAGTTACTTTCTCTCAAGACAATTTTACCGAAAAATATGTTCCTCAAGTTCACTAAATTTTATCGCTCTTTCTAGTACTGATGGTGATTTCCTTTCTAAATTTTTGTTTAAGAGAGTGTTAAGCAAATGGTGAATGTATAATTAAATAAGATGTAATTGTATTTTATTTTTTCAAAAATAAAGCTGATAAACAAAAACGGACATTATTTATGACTGAACCTAATCAGGCGGGAATGTTTTCTATGGCCCACAACAATTCCCCTTAAAGTAATACCAACTACTTGACAGTGTCCATTTCCTCTCCAAATAGCATATAGCAAGTTGTATTGGATTACATGGTAGCAACAACATGAAATGTCCCTAACGTGACCTATGAAAGAATGTAAAAGGTGTAGCTATATAACTAGACTTTAGCATCGCCCTGCTGTTAAGTTTCCATAGTCAAATGTGTGAAGGCGATGGCCATGACAGAAGTGCGCTTGGCATGCAAAGTACTTGTTCAATTCGCGTCAGAGGTTATTTCTTTATTTCAGAATTCTGCTGCATTCTTTTAATGTCATAGATAGTAAAAGTGATAAAAGGTAGCAATAAAGATGAAAAAAATCCTCGTCAAAAATTAATAATAAAAAGCTCCATAACAGAATTTAGATAATATAAAACTACTGACAGAGAAGATTGACACACAGACAGATACAGCTTCCTTTTTTTCTATAGATAGAAGGATAGATTTAGAGTGATGTTTTTTTTTCTACCAACTGAGAAGAAGTAACGCCCAAATTCTGTCTTCTTTGCAGACACACACACAATTAACAGACTCGACCACACACCTAAAAAAAATATTGGATTTCATTGCTACAAGTTTGGAACAGGCAAAGCAATGAAAATAGGGAAGGGGTAAACGGTTGCAGACGAAACCATTTGCAATTCCGGTAGCTGCTACTTCACATGAAACGATGCATATATACACGCATACAAACATACATAAGCACATAAATACATACATACATGCATACATACATACATACATACGTACGTACTTACGTACGTCCACTTCACTGTGCATTAGTTTTTTTGTGCGTTTCTATAGTAATGGATTTAAACAGATAACATTTCATCTTCTAATAAATTTCATTTATGCTTTCCGTTTCCCTTCTGGATGTGTGTTTAGCGACTCAGAAAGAAAAACCGGCGAGACGAGTTCGCGTTCCGGTCGAGTTCGTTGGATTCTTCACTGCGAAAGATGTGGCTCCATCTCTTCTCTGTTCAGCTATGGTTTAAACGGCACCGTTGAATGGCCTCTCTTTCCATAGCAGAGTGACCAGTCTTGGAGAAGGATAACTTTGAATTTAAGATCAAACTGAAGAGGGATAGGTTTCGACAAGCTATATTACCATAAGACACCATCACTCTTATTGTTACAGTATATGTGGTACGCTACGACCGTAATGGGTTACAGGACTCGCGACGTGACTTTTTTGCTTTCTTCCGATTTTTTCTTTTTTAACCCCTTTTATTCAAGTACCAGTTTTTATCCTAACTTTATATACATGCTATGCCTCTTCAGCACGTACGAAATCATAGATATTCACATTTCTCTCTCTCTCTCTCTCTCTCTCTCTCTCTCCCCATGTAAAAAAGGCTAAAAATAATGGAAGCATTAATAATAAAAAAGAAACAGCCAACACTCAATAGCATCAACTATGAACACGGCCGCAATGTGCTGACCGTTTTTTGGAAAAAAAAATCTCATAACTCTAGATACATACATAAAAAAAATATACACATTCAGTTAAAAATAAAAACAACATTTATTGGTTGTGACAACGAGCCTAACTTGTATCGTTCAACGACAAAGTTCTCTCGTCTTTAACGATACATGTGCTGACGCGTGAAGATGCGATACTTAAAAAAAAACAACAGTATGCGTTAAAATGATGTTTGAAAAACGATGAAACTGACAGCACAAAAAATATCTTCGATAAAGACTAATGAAAGCCGAAAGTACACAGTTATTTGAAAATTTATACTTTCACCGGAAACCAGGATAATAGTCTGAAATATAGATAAAATAAACAAAAAAAAATCCTGTATAAATAACTTTCGGGGCCGTTAGCGAAACTTAGTCTGGTACAGGATCATCAATGCGAGCGCACTATATGAAGTGCAAATTCACTTCAACAATAACAGCCTGCAAGGTTATGTTGCCAATCATTGCCCAATGGCGATACAAAAGTATTTATTCAGCTTAGTTTTATCGTGAAGATCGAATTCCCTATGGGAGTAATGGTCTGCAAGATTAGCTAGCTCAGAATTGTTTGACAACGAAGGCGCCCATATTTACAAGGTTTATCTTGGCTTTGAACAAGACCATGTTCCTGCCACATATGGTATGATGCTCTAGCTATATATTTAGATAACATTCATAAAACGCAAAGAAGAATTTGCAACGTCATTGGCTTTGACCTGACATCTCGGCTTCAGTCACTTTCAGACCGCTATAGTGTAGTTTTCCTGCACCTTTATTTTTATAGATACTTTCATGGCACTTGTTCTGATTAACTTTCATCTCCTGTACCTAGACGCTATGAATTTAAGCGCAATATTCGATTGGCAGCAAGATTTCATCAGTTTACAGTTAAAATGGCTAGATGTAACCATAAATTCAATGCTAATAGTCTCTTCTATAGCACGTCTCGAATGTAAACCTCTCTTCTGGGATCTTGCTTCCCAGTCAACTTTGATCTTCAAAAATTTAAATGCAATGTCAATCGTTATCTACTGTCTTCTTAATTTCTGTTCTTTTATTGTTTTTGCTCCTTAATAAGGTTTCCTATTTCTTATATCCTTTCACATTCAGTAAACCCTTGCATCTCATTGGTTTTATTCCTTTGCTTGGGATGAAATGATAAAAAAAATATGATGGTCAACGTACCTGCGAACAATTGCTTCACAGGGATAAAAATATAGACCATCCAGTGAAGATCAAATTTACTTCTGTTGTAATAGTCTGCGAGACGAGTTTGTTAACTAATGATGTAAGGCAGTTACCCAAAAATACTTACTCAACGTAGCTTAGTCTGGCGGGAGGCCACAAGTGTGGTGCACTCAAGAATAACTAGGTTCATTAAATGATTACAATATTTGCTTGCTGACCTTTCTTTGCTAGCGATGCGTCCAAAGCCACTTTCTTTTTATATCCATTTCTGTATATTTTTCTCCAAACATTATTTCTTTTTATTTTCAGTTTCTTTTTCGTTTCGTTTCTTTCTTTCTTTCTTTCTTTCTTTCTTTCTTTCTTTCTTTCTTTCTTTCTTCTTCGTCTTCTTTTATTCTTTCAAACAAAAAGCATACAATAGTTTCTTGATATATTTTTCGGATTCCCCGTTTAGACATACCCGATTTACGTATGCACGTTCGTTCGTTCGTTTGTTTGTTTGTTTGTTCGTTCGTTCGTTCGTTCGTTCGTTCCTTCCTTCCTTCCTTCCTTCCTTCCTTCCTTCCTTCTTTTTTGTGCTGTTTTACATTTATTACTTCATCTTTTCTTTCTTTTCCTTTCCTTTTTTTTAGTCACATACCTTTTCGATCGTATTTTAGGAAGATTTCTTTGCTCAACTTATTTTGCTTCACTTCTTTTTTTTCTTTTCATTTTATCATTCTTTTTTTATTCTTTCACTCCTCTTTCCTGTCTTTTTTCTCTTCTGATGTTACATTTTCCCAAAATTTCTCAAACGTTTTGCGATGTCTATATTTATTTATTTCGATTTTGTTTAAATTTTTTTCTTATGCTTATATTCTGTCACTTCTTTTATTCATTTATCTAAAGTTATATTTCTTTATATTCATCTCCGCTGTTTTCTTTCTTTCTTTCTTTCTTTCTTTCTTTCTTTCTTTCCTATCCTAGTCTGTTGCCACCCGCACACCCTTTTCTCTTTACAGATGATGAATCTGTTTAATAGGTTTTCACTGATTACTTCGGCTGCCATAGCAACGGTCGCCGTAGCAATAAACGTCTTGTTTCTTAACATATAAATAAACTGATGTTGTTGTTGTTTTGTTTTTTCAGGCGAAACTCTACTTTTTCCAAATTGTTAACTGTTTAATTTAACACCCCCTTCCAAGAAATCCTGTTGTGACTCCTGAACGACATTCGATAACAGTAAGAAAACAATATCTAGATAAAACCGCTTATTTTTTTTATTTCACATTTTATATACCCTTCCAATGTAGGCTTGGGTACCGATCATTAAACGATGGAATGCAAATAATTTGGTCAGGATATTACTAATGTGGAGAGTTCACACAGCACCGTGTTCTCCCCTATTGTGTTTCTGAGCCCTATTAAAATAGGTTTAGTCAATGTTTGCCTCGTTATCTAGCTAACTATAATATCTATACAGGCACCTTCCGTGTCCAGTGCTAGTCTTGGTAGGCTGTTTCTAGTGTTTCAAATTTGATCTTTAATAAGCTTTTTCCCTAAGGCCCACGAGCCACTCATGGTAGAGGGTTACTGAATGAGATAGTTGTGTAAACGTAAGAAAGGAATTCAAGAAGCGCAGATTATGAGGATATGTAGGAATGATAACGGTTGACTCTTAATATGAAGAGGTGAAGATTGTAGTGATTGGGTAAGCATGATCTCGGAAGTCTGTTCCACAAAGTAGAGGCTCTTGGAAAGAACCTGTCCGAAATTAGGATGATTTAACCCTACGTACGCGACATGGTGGGCCTTAGCTGTAAAGGTCTGAACTGGTGAAACTAAAGAATGTAGCTCGTTTGACATATTCTTTAATCATTTCACCCTAAATAAGGCGATAAAGCCACCATCATTCAAGAGTTTGTTGAGAGTAAAAGAATCTTAGGAAAATTATTATTGAGAAGAGAGAACAATTAAAGAAGGAGGCAAGATAACGATTGATGTTGCATTTAAATATTTGGAAATAGCGACACGCTTGAAATGTTTCGCGTGTGAGAAAAGGCTTGTAGGGTTTAAAATGTCATCGCTCACAAAGCAATGATTTTGAACTCTCTCAGAGCTGAAAAATACCCCATTGTTTTAGTCATTCGCTAGATAATTATCTAGATCAAATAATTGACTTCTTACTGGATACTCAATTAGTTTGACCATGTGCCATACTAAGCCAAGCTTTTTAAATTCGAAATGGCGTTGAAAAGTTCTGAAACCGATTCAATACTCAAAATGGCTAAACACCAGAATTTAACTTGGAATCCATTGTTAGCCAGGCCGTGAACTTTTCATCGTGTCCTGTTTACTCCACCAAAGAGATTAATGTCTTCTTTTAATTTTGTTGATATGTCGAGTAACTAAGATTTGACTGAACTTCTAGAAAATCTACTTGGTAATCATTTAAAGATATAATGAATTTGATGTAGTTACGTCTAATGAAAACACGCTGTACAATTTAATTTGAGTACATAGTCTATTCTGGTATGATCTGGGGTGAGACACGTTCTAGAAAGAGAATGGTCTCGAGAATTCTAGTGTCACTATTTATATTGCGAAAATATCTTAGATTAAAATCTGATTGTTTTTTGTTGTTGTTTTATTTATTAGGTGAGGTCACATTTCGAAATTGTAGAATTGGATTTTTAGTAGCTGTGGAAATTACTTCTCTAGTTAGAGGTGTCAAAAATGAATTGATGGACAAAAAATGGACAGATAAGAATAATGCACCTATATCAGCCACTGAACAGACCGAAATATAGTCTGATAAATATTTAAACAATACAGGTATTGCAGAATTTACATTTGAACAAAATTACTGCGTTATGATGACCATGTTTCACTAATTCTCTAAACAGAGAAAACAAAGTCTCTCTCGGAAGCCGACGTTCAAAAACAGTTGTTTTTTAGTTGGAATTAAACGTCAGAAACAAATATTCAAGCATTACAACCATCATGCAGGACCATAGATAGGTAGCTATTTATCTGGAATGCCGGCTTATGTCAATATCCTATGTAAAAGAACATCTCTAATTTGAAGATAAGCATTCCTGGTGTGATTGGTGTTTGAACACTGCTATGTGGTATCGGAGGTAAACACTAAACGATCTCATTCTTCAAATGAAAATAGTCTGAGATACATAGACAGATAGATAGAAACAAACTGAGAAGCAGAGATACGAAGACAAAACACTATATATATATATATATATATATATATATATATATATATATATATATATATATATATATATATATATATATATAGGGTGTAACAGAAACAAAGATCTATTGAGCTTTTTGATAATTTTATCCTGGTGTCGGATTCATCGCTTTATCGTAGATAGAAACGTCTAAAGTTACTCGCCAAATTTAAAAAATTTGACATTTGAGCAATTTCGACCGTCACTGTTCCTTTTCATAGGAAAAAGATTGAATGTCCAAAAATAACTACACATAACACCAATTCTAAAGTTAAAAATAAACGTCTGTTCCTGTATTATTAGCATGAAATAGAATTTAGCGTTACGTAATATGATTTTACGGTTTGAAGGTAATTTAACACCTGGGCACGTAGATCAAAACACCTTTTATTAATAGTAGGTTGCTTACTTTTAATTAAAATGCTTCCAAGATTTGTACTCGATTTGTACTCGTTTTTTTTTTTTTTTTTTTGCAAGAATAGCGACATTGTACATTGCTTTCCGATTTGACGTCTCTCTTCTCAAAATAAATGTTGAAGCATAACCAATATATATTGATGTTTTTTATTTGCTCTTTTTTTAATCAATAGTATTAATTTGTAAAGAGAAATAACAATATAAGTTATATATATACCAACATAAATTATATATATATATATATATATAACTGGTTAAATGCCAACAAAAGTTCCTATTTTTCATTTATTTTTTAATGTTCCCTTTTATTTTCTTGCTTTTAAGTTCATAACAAAAAGTAAAAAGTTTTGATCAGGGCTAAATTTATATGAGTAAACAATGGAGAATATACTTTCAAATATGAACATGAAACCAAGAAAATAATTTGCTATTATAACATATCAAGCAAATTTACCCGCTCAGTATTAATTTTAATGCTAATGATATATGCCGTAAAAATATTGATAATAAAGTGGATAATCTTTAAATGTGTACTTAAAATAGTTTAAGGTCTGTAAAAAACAAAAATACTTTTGATACACCCTAATAATATATTTGGACAAATCTTTCTTTAATTTTATGCCTACTTTCTTTGTAATTCTCACCTCGTCATTCAACGACCATTTTTAAGCAACGCTGGAGTTTTACTAACGACCGTAGATCTTCGAGCTAAAAATTGCAATGAAAAACAAGAAAAATCAGATGATTTTTAAGAATGCAAGTTCAATTATTTGGCACGGCTTTTGATTCGGCTTGAAAATATGTTATTTTTATATGGTAGTCATTAATTTAATTATTTTCTAACCCGATTCACTGAAAGTTAGTGCAAAATCTAAAACATATTGTTTAATGTTCTATTTTTTACATTTTCGAACTCCCATCATTTACGCCTGTGTTGCTGTGACATCACCTTACTGAATAGACCATAGTGGCTAACCTGCACGATTATGCTTTATTTCTTATCCGTACCGTTAATTTAAGAGCTGTAAAAATGACTGCTTGCAAATTGTGATAAAGACAACATTAATATAATTAAATAAATTCAATTCAAATAATAATAATAATACTCAAGAAAACCAATAGAAAACAAGTAAAGTGAGTTAAAAATGCGATGGAATTCTCCATTCTTAATAGTGACATCAAATCTTGCCAAGTCCCTTTTGATCTCATTTATGGATTGTATTTGTCTCGGCGCAAGGCTCATGTTTAATATCGGGCTTGCACAGTTCCAGTTTACACGTTGGGTCCCAATTAACGAATTGGGATTCATCTGAAAGCTCAGCGCTACTAAATGTTGAATTGACTTCCCTATGTTAGTGTAATGAAGAGGAACTACTTGGGTGATGGATACGCAGGAGTCAGCCTTCATTTATGAAATGTCTCAGAACTTATTTTTGACAAATTAGCCAGAACACGATGATACAGAAGTTATTTATAAATGCTTCTTGGGTTTGGTTGCCAAAACAACTGAGCTTAGAGCCATGTTTTCCTTTCTCTGTTTTCCTTTCTCTGTTTTACTTCATTGCCTGTTTACATGTTAAATATTGAATAGCCTTTTCCTTCTTTTTTAGCGGTTACAATTTCACGAAAATATTTTCACATTTGGTCCTTGAGGCAATGGTTGACTGAACTATTTATCTAAAACATAGACTGCGAGGGTATCACATCTGGGAACTACGCAAAAATACTGATCATAGGTGGCTGGGAGGATTGAGCCACACTTTGCTCAGAAGAGCGATTAGATTTGAAAATAAACCTAGTGTTGGCCCGTTTTTTAAATCTGAATACCACATGAAATTTTATTCACATCTCACCCACCAAGTAAGTAAGCACATATACACTGATATTCCAAAAGTTATGACATAGTAGTATGTAAAGGTCAAGTTAGGTGGTGCTACTGTACTTGACATCATGGAAATGGTCATATGAACACTATCTAGGCTTCTTTCTTCTTCTATGTGCCATGTTCCTTCAGGAAGTTGACGATCATTGCTTTCCACAATTTCTTACCCTTCATAGCTCTTAATAAATATTATCTTTTTGCTATCTTCCCTAAACCCTTTTCTGTCATCCATTTATACAAGTTCGTTAGGCAGGTTATGCGTTGTTTTTCTTAGTCTCTCTTGCCTTCCATATTTCCTATAACTGCTAAATCATCCGAGCCTTTTTCTTCTCATTATGTGCCCAAGAAATTTCAACTGTCTGTTTCTGACTCATGGAAAACTGAATTATCAGAGAGAAGTTATCAGACTTCGAACAGAATCAGATGATGGTTACCATCCGGACAGGATTCCATTTCTGAAATTGCGGGGATATTTGACATTCTTCTTGT